AACATTAGATTATAGGAAGGCCAATAATATTTCCAATAATACATTCAATGTAATATTTTAAGTGAGCTCTTTCCTTCAGTATTTAATTGAAATGTTCCTAGGAAACAGGAATATTTTAAAACGAACCACAGGTTAATATTAGTTAGATATATAATCTTCAGGTGGACGGGTGCCTTTAGCTTTAAACATTAAATTAAACAAAAAGTACCATTCAGATGTTTTTTTTTTAATTTGATTTAGGTTTTCAACAACTCACTTTTAGGCAAAGAAAAAGGATAGTATTTAGTAATATTACATGTTTTAGTTTTACAGAAAAGAAAGAACATGTTGGACAGGACCTAAGTAATGAACTATGTGTACACGTTGTGGTTACAAAAATTGGGCTTCACTGTGGCAATGAGGGAGCGGGTAAAGGGTACTGGGGGGGGGGGGGATTATCACATCGATACATATACTCATCCTGCTGTTTTACAAAGACCCCACCTCGTTCCCTCCCACCCATACAATACCAACAATGATAAAAGAAAGGATACTTGGAGTAAAAAACAGCAAATAATCAATATATAATAAAATATAATACGAATTGTTCAGTACACTCCGGTTATTTCTGTTGTCCTTTTTCGAATCCTGAACACATTAAAAGTTGGTTTTCTTTCCACGCCTCTTTACAAACATGACAAAAGTAGTGTACATTAAAAACATGGTCACCAATACTTTTCCTTTTTCAGTCACTTTAGCACATCAATCTGCCTTTTCGTGACAGATTAGACCCTTTACTTATCTTTCTTAATAGATTAATTTAGCTTAAAAGGGCAGGGCAGATCTCAGTATAAAAAGTGGGAGATTCTCCACTGGGGGGGGGAAACAAATAAACATACAGAGCAAGAGACACAGACTATACGGATTAACTGTGAATAATGTGAAAACAACTTGAAAAAATAAACAGGTACTAAAAAGGTACCTCACTTCTACAATCCGCATCCAATCCATATTATGCGCAAACACTGCTAATAGGAGGAATAAAATAAAACATGATGATGAAACTGGATTAATGCGTTTTTTAAAACAGGTGCTACTAAAAAGTGTGTAGAGTTCCTCCACCCTGCAGAAGGGTGATGAGGGCGATTTAGGGCCTTTTGAAGTCCTCATTTCCAACCCCCTCTGCTGCAGTGAGTCAGGATTGTATACAGATTTATCAGGGTGCATTGTGGGGGTATTACGGTAGTTACACTAAACCCTCCCCACTTGTTCTGTTAAAAAAACGTGCTAGCTCTTGCTTGCTTCTTGGATTATCTAAAAAAAATAAAACATCAAAACAATCTAGTCTAGAAAACAGTCTTTTTTTTTTGTTGTCTACTGGCTGTACTCAGTCAGTACTGTTGATCTCTCGGGCTGAACCAGAGCCGGCAGCGCTAGCGGGGCCGGCGATTGGTCGCTTTCTGGCAGCGGGGACTTCATCTTCATCAGTTCCCAGCCCCTGCTGATGGGCGGCCCCCGGCAGCAGAGGTCGTGGCGGGCTAGGAGCAGCGAGTTCCAGAAGCGGTGTCGACATTTGGAGCATTGGAACGCGGCTTGCTTCAGATGCTTGCCCCGGTGTTTCAAGGCTTTGTGTAGTGAGCTGCTGCGCCTGCCACAAACCTGGCAGCGCAGGCGGGCGCTGCGGCCTGAGGTCCTCGGAGGATGCCTGATGGCGCGGTGGACCAGCAGAGCACCCGGGAGGGCGTAGGTGGCGCTGGGGCAGATCGGGCAGGGGAAGCGCTTAATGGGGATTTCCATGGAGGAGAGGCCGGTGACTGTGACGGCGCCTCCGCTCCACGACTTTGCCTTCACCACACAGCCCTTTACCCTCAGCTGCGCCAGGATCTTTTTCTTCTTGAGCGCCTCCTGCAGTCTGCCCCTCTTTTTCCTTAGAAGCATCAGCTTCTTGCGGGTGTCTTTACTCAGAGGAACACCCACCAGCTTTCCGTCTCTCATGATGCTGTGGATCAGAACTTGCTTTTTAGTTTTTTTTTTTTTTTGACCAAGCCGCTTTTGGATGTTTTTCGAGCGGTAGTGAAAAGGGTGGTGTTGTTGATGTTGCTGCTGCTGCCCAGGAGCCCCTTGTTGCATGTTTGAAGACCCGGCGTAGTTAGAACCTGACCCTGAGTCGTAGAAGACCGGGGAGTATCCCGAGGGTTGGGACTGGTTGACCCGTTGGCCGTTGCGGTCGATGCCGTGCTGAGACAGCTTGTGGCGCACTAAGCTGTTGGAGTAGGCGAAGGCTTTACCGCACACTTCACATCGAAAGGACTTCTCCAGCCCGACCCCTCCCCCGTGGACCGTCTGTTGATGTGCCGTCAGGTGGAAGTAGTGGCGGAATGATTTCCAGCACACTGTACAGGTGTAAAGCCTCTGAGAGGGGGTGCCAGATGTGGGAGACTTTTCTCCTTGGGAGCAGGATGAGAAGTAGTCAGAGTTTCCTGAGGGGCCGACCTGACTGATGGCGGCGGCGGCGGCAGCAGCAGCAACAGCAGCAGCGGCAGCACCTTTGACCCGCCTCCCCTGGCTGTCGATCTCGCCTTTCCTGTGCAGCTTCCCGTGTCTCACCAGGCTCTGTGCATAGGCAAACATCTTCCCGCACAGATTGCATTTGTAGTTCTTTTGACCCGAGTGCACGGTCAGATGCTTGGTGAGGTGGAAAGGCTCGCGGAACATTTTGCCGCACACGTCGCAGGCGTGAGGTTTCTCGCCCGTGTGGACGCGGGTGTGGCGCCGCAGCGTCTCCGCCCTCCTGAAGCGTTTGCAACAGACCTGACAGCTGTATGGCCGCTCTGACCCATCTCCTGGAGGGGCGGGGCTTCTTCTCCTCCTGACGATGTTGTTTGGGTCTCTCTTCTCTCGGGGCTTCCTTGGCCTCCGGGGCTTTGTGTGGGGCTGGCTAGGGTGGGTCAAAGGCAATGTGGCACCGTTGAGGCTGGATGTAGAAGACGGTCCGCTGAGGTTACCAAACCCCAACCCTCCGAGGAGGCCTCCAATGATATCCCTCCTCTCTCCGTCCCGACCTTCAGCGTTTAAATCACAGGAAGCAGCAGCTGCAGCAGCGATGGCTGACATCGCACTGCTGGTGACTTCATCCTCTGAATCATCCAATAGGGAGGAGAGGGGGAGGTGTGGCTGTGGTTGTTGCTGCTGCGGCGGCTGTTGGTGGTGGTGGTGCTGCTGCTGTGGCTGTGGGTGGGGGTGCAGAGTTGGGGCTAATGGGGCCTTACGCAGAGTTTGGTTGTTCATTTCACTGGCTAGACTCTCTGGGGAGTACAGGGACGCTGGTTGTGATCGCCTGTAATCGTCCACCCCGCTGTAGGGCGAGTGATTCTGGTAACGGTTTCTGGAAAAATCTGTTGCATACTTGATATTGGCCATTGCTGCCCCATCGTTTGGGAGTCCCACCCTGTTTCCACTGCTTCCCATTTTACTGCTGCTGCTGCTCGGGTTGGATGATACGCTCCCTTCGCTGCTGGCGCGGTTTTTTGAACTCCGAGGAGGTTTGCCACAGGCCCCTGAAGCAGCGTGGTTGAGAAGAGAGGTGCTCTCCCGGAAGCAGCGGCCGCAGGCCGGGCAGCGGAAAGGCTTATCGTCGTGAATCTTCTCGTGTCTCGTAAGAGACTCTCGCCGGTTGAAGGACTTTTGGCAGATGTTGCAGGCAAAAGGCCGGTTTTCTGAGTGGGTGACGCTATGTTGGATGAGGTGACCCCTCTTTTTGAATTTCTTCCCACACTGACCACAGCAGAATACCCTTTCTGGGCCTGGGGAGTTACAGTCAGACTTCCTGCTTTGGCTTTCTGGTGTCAAGCCGTGGCTTCGGAGATGCCTTCGCAGGCTGGAGAGGTGGGTGAAGGTTTTACCACATTCACCACAGTGGTAGAGGGGTTCTGGCTCCGGCTGGCCGGATGAACTGTGACTGTCCTGGGATTTGGACAACTGTTGGTTACCGTTGGCTACAAGCACAGAGGTGGAATTAGAAGGAGGGGCCGACGATGAGGAGGAGACGCTGGAGGATGACTGCTGTTGCCGTGAGGATGATGAGTGGTGAGAGGAATGCTGTGGCTCACTTCCGATGCCACTTATCCCAACACCCCCAGGTGCTCCTCCCACGAGGACCGCTGAGGAGCTCTGACTGTGCCCACTCGAGCTGCTGTGGCAGTTACTGACACTGCTGCTGTGAGTGGTCTGGAGGCTAGTCTCGGATTTCCTCTGGGGGAGGTAGCCCGCCATTGCTTTCTTTCTCCTGCTTCCTCCACTTGAAGCAGATGAAGACGAGCTGTCTCCTGTCTTTGCATCGTCTTTAGAGAGGGACAGGTGCAGGGGCAGGGGGAGGGAAAGGCCAGCCTCTTGCTGCATTAGCGATGCTATCTGGTTAGAGGAGAGGACTGGAATGCCTTGGAAATCAAAGCCACCCAGAGGGGCAGGCTGGGGCGCCGGGTGGAGAGGGTGAGGGTGGTGAGTGTGGCTGTGTGGATGAGATAAGGCGTGAGAGCTCAGCTGCTGTTGCTGCTGCTGGAGCTGTGGAGCTGAGTGGCCGTGGCTGTGTGCAGAGTGGAGGGAAGGGGGAGGAGCCAGGCCAGAGTTGGAGTCGATGGGCCCTTGGCTGAGACCCAAACCCAAGTGGTTGTGAGTGCCTTGCTGCACGAGGAACTGCTCCAGGCTGCTGTTGGTGGGGACGCCGGAAAGGAAGTACTGGTTGGCAGCCAGCATGCAGCTGAACTGCTGGTGGAGGCTGCGGGGGTCGGACTGGCCCACTAAGGGGACCGCAGTGCTGCCGGAGGGGTGGTTGGCTGAGGAGGTGGAGGAAGAGGGCGAGGAAGTGGGGGGACCAGCAGAGGGCTGGGGGACAGAGAGGCCTGGATGCAGCGGTGGAGGTGGGGGTGCGGGAGTGACAATCCCACCGCTGCTGCCGCTACCAAAGTCAAAGCGTCCCATCCCAGAGTGGAGCTGCTCCTGAGCCAGAGCAGCCTCGGCCGGGTGGAATGGCCGCAGGAACTGGGGGTATCCCGAGCTCGCGCTCCCACTGCTCATTTTACTGGACTTTCTGGAGCTGTGAGAGGAAGACGACTGGCTCTGATGAGAGATTGATGAGGGGGGGGCACTCATTTTGGCAAATAACGAGGAAGAGTCGGCGAAGGCATTACTCCGAGAACTCTGGAGGGGTCCTAGGCCCAGGCCGGAGAGCAGGCTTCCTGAGCCGTCAACGGAGGGCTGGTGCTGCTGCTGGAGCTGCTGCTGGTGCTGCAGCTGGACCTGCTGCTGGTGGCTTAGCTGCCGCTCTAATCCCAGGCCTTTAAACTGGTGGGCCTGGTGTCCGCTCAGCATCTCTAAAATGTCCATGGGGTACTTGCTGAATTGGAACATCTTCCAATCCGTGAGGTGCAAAGTGCTGCTTGCACTAAGCCTTTAATGCTAGAAACAGCTGGGACAAGTTGGGATATTCAGAAGTAGTCCTGACCCCAAACTTCCAACAAACTGCTATAATCCAAAAAAAGCAGATGCTTGATTTTTTTGTATCACTATTAGTTTTTCCTTCAAGAGGGAAGCCTGCAAGTGCTTCTGGGAGATTTTATAAAAAAGGGTCATAAATAGGCATTAAACTAAATCATACTAAAAACAAGAGTCTGTAGTGTTTCTTCAAAGTGTTCCATAGTATTTAGAAAATCAGGTCAGCAGTTCCATGGAAAGGAGTGTGCTATATCAGCGGAGGGAGAACCATTGGTTGTTGCCTACTGTCCCCTCATGGAGTTCTTGTGGCAACCTAAAGAATGAGAGGGGGACAAGAAACAATAATGTCAGAGATTTAGTGACTTGATACAGAGATAAACAAAACACTTTTGGCACAGAGTTCAACAACACTATGGTTTTTCTTTCACTCAGAGCCTAAACAACCTGGGTGCTGAATGTCTCAAAGGGAACCAAAACAAACAACTAAAATGTGTCTTTAGGGTGATCACTACAGATTGGCTAACTCTGGCACATTACAGAAATGTTGATTAATGTGCACTTTCCATGTTAAATATATGAATAAATATATAAAGATTAACATTTATTTATTTATTAGCCTCAGTAATCTTTATTTTACCTTAAATTACATTTTAACAGTTCATTTATTGAGCCTGCTGAGGAATTATTGAGGATGTATTATTCATTATTGAAAACGTGTTTTTTCTTCAAAAGGTGCTTAGTGTAATGCATTTATTTCTTCTAAATCTTAATTTCCCACTAAAGATAAAGTCTAATGAAAAATATTTGTCTAAAAAATCAAATGATATCGACAATATCCCGCTCAGACTCAGGGGACAGTTAGGTTACTGCTTATTTTTTCAGAATGAGAGGCCACAACAGTGCAATTATCTTTCTGTAGTAATCTTAGAAAGCACACTGCAATATGTATTGTTTGTACAATCTGGTCAAATTCTAATTGGCTGGCTTTCTAATATCAGCCAGCTTTAAACCAATGAATGAACACCTGCTGTTGTTAACCTATATAACCTGTTGCAACAAGACTGTATTTTTATCTTAAAATAGTTAAAGAACTAAGGATATCACCTTGCACAATGTGTTTTTCTGTCTTTGTTTTAATGTGAAAGGAGTTTTAATCAAATGATTGTTTAAAAATTGCATTTTAGAGACAAAGCAGACAAACAAAATAAGAAATGATCTGAAAAATGTATTATGACATATTCGTTATATCCCTTTAAAGTGCTGAAGTCTAGGATTTGACAGATTTATTTGTAGATCTTTGCACGGTATACACACTTTTGAGAGCAGTAGATAGAGCCTAGAGGGAAATGAAATGAGAGTGTGGCTCAAAATGCCACATGACTCCTGTCCACCTCCTGCTGGATAACATGGCTGCCAGCTATGACATCTGCTTTACAATTAGAAAAAGATGCTTCTTTGTTCCGCTGAAATCCACAACTTGCTGCTTTGTCTTCCGACCAAAACATTAGCCTAGAACAGAAAGTATTTCATCTGTGTTGTCTGGATGACATCCTTTTTTTAAAGACTGAGGTTAACTTTGCACTTGATTCTGACCTCCTTCTGGCTCGACATGAATGACTCTCCCCTGGGACAGAAACCAGAGAAGCCAAACATCCTTATTGTACCGTCACATCTGCGTACAGTCTGAAGCTTGGCAGAGTGACAGGAAATTCATATACAGCAGCAATATATAAAAATTAAAATCTGAAAACCAGAAATAAAAGCAGATTTCTTTCTGAAGAATACGGAAACCTGCTGTTACTTAAAGCAATGTGTGGCTCTATGTGTGAAACGTTTTTCAAAAAGCTAAACGCTAATGCTTCAATGTTGATATTTGTTTGAAAGATGATGAACACAAGGCCAAACAACCGCGATATTAATAAGAACGATGCTCCTGTTATATATCCAGCTCTAAGAAGTTTATTTTCCTTCCGATCATGAGATAATTGTATGAATCAGATTCTCAAGGAAAAAGGAAAGCATCTGGACCAGACAGTAGGGCTTGAGCTAAGAAATGTTCTTTACAAAACAAACACTTGTCCAACTTCAACTAATTGGGAAATGGGCTCTGGTTTCGGACAGAGGGTGAAAAGAGGTGCTGCAGCACAGGCAGAATGAGAAAGATTAAGACCTTTTTGAACATTAACGCATGAAGACATGTCCCATAGAGGAACACAATACAATTATGAAACCTAAAAAAAAATTGCGTTATAGGGCCCCTTTAAAATCCCATAATGTTGTGGCATTGTGCAGTAACCAAGGAAAACGTATACATGTTACTATGACAATATATTGAGCTATAACACAAAGATAAGAAACGTCAGTTTATTTTGATTTATGATACATTTATTTTAATCTAAGTAAGAAACATAAGGCAATGGGCAGTCAAACACGTGATCCCCACCACAGAGTTTCAATCTAGATCTCTATCGGGGAACTAGTTCACACATGTTGCGCCAGGTGCTCTTTCAAGTAGACAGAAAGGTAATAATCTGTTTATCACATGCTACTGATTGTTTGCCTTTAAAAACACTTCACAAACTCTCAGCCAGCACCCACCCACGATGTATTTCATTCAACAGGTTGACTTTGGATGTGTTCAATGTGAAAACCCTTTGGAAACATGTAGTTGTTGATTGGTGCATTTCATCCTAACGGTATGCCATCCATTGAAACTGCTATTTTAAGTCTGTTTGCTGCACTTTGGTTGGTGGGTCAGAGGTGGAAACAAATATATCCAATGTGAAAAATCCGTATAAGCACTCTGTTCAAAACAGACTAAATGCACTCTAAAAGGGCATACACATGTGTGAACATTTGTGTTAAATTATCTCAGAAAAACATAAGAAACTGCAAGATTTGCAACAGGGTGTTCATCACATAATGCTTTCTACATTTTATATACATAAGGTTCGACATGGCTGAATGTGACCCTGGGCTCAAATCCCCTTAAGAGTGAACACTCTGCCTCCCTGTGTCCTGTTACATCACGGGAGCAAAAAAAACGTTCTACCTGAAGGACTAAAAAAAATAGAAGTAGAAGTACCGAGTATAAATAAAGTGCCAAGATTATGTTTAAATTAGTTTTAAATCTGATGTGAGGGATGTTGTACACCTGTACATACATATTGATTTTTATTTTTCCAACATAAAACATTAAGAGGGAAGTAATTTATTAATTATTACCTCATTGAGTTTGTTCCATGATATCAATATAAGATAAAAATGTAGGCAAAAAATGCAATAGCAAAAGTAGTGTATTACTGGGACAATATTATCTTTATAATAAAAGGGGCAAATTGAGATATACACAGTAGAATACATAAGTGAACATCCTGTTTTAAGCCTTGTCTAAACCCAAACAAACGTTTTGATCAGGTAGTCTGCGCTGCTGATTCTGCATCAGTGTTTGAAATAAGCATGCTATTACTGCTCAGATATATGCGAGTATACATGAGCTGATGCTCCTTTAAGCCCATATTTTGTAATAGGCACTATGAGTTACTAGCGGAGAAAGCACACCGGACAAATTAAAGCTAACATTTAGTTTGAAAATTTGGAGTTGTGTGATTTCATGTTGTGTCTATCTTACCGGCTGATCCACAGGTCTGGGGCTCCCTGCTGGACCGCGGCTTTTAGGGGAGACACGATTGCTTTCTCCGCCGACAAGTGGTGTCTTGAGGCAGACAGCCTGAAACACATGCACCGATGAAAGAGCAGGTTAGATGGAAAGACATGACTGTTATCACTCATCCGCCAGAAACTACTAGCATCCATCAATCACTCCATTAGCTAACGGTAACCAACTACCAAAACGCTGCGCTGAAGACCATGATATAATGTATAACACATTTATAACATTAGCACATAGGTGTTTTTTATTGAGCTACACTGTGTGAGTCAAAGCGTTGAACTACAGATAAATATAACTAAACTGACATAAAGGAGGTATCGCGTTTCAATAGCTTTGCGCTAGCACCACTAGCAGACTAGCTGTGCGCTTAGCTTGGCAGCTAGCAAATTAGCCAACATCCCGCTGCTGGAAACAGCTTTTGTTTTTGTTTTCTTACCTTGTAGCATACGATGGCTAGGTGCAAAAACACCTCAGAAACATGGGAGTGAAATTGTGAAAACATCAAGCGGGGAGTGCGCCGTAAGAGCGGTGTACCTACTGCCCGTCAGCGGGGCCTTTTTCTTCATCCATGGAAAAACACTGTGAAAGGCCTGGCTCTCCATCGGCCCGGGAGGGCTGCTTTTCATTCGCTAACAAAAACTATTTCCGCTGGCCTGGCCCGATATGTCCATTGTTCGCCGCCTCAGTCCTACAGCTCCCCCGGTTTACTGCTCGTCCTCTCCCAAACGGCGCCTTTGTTTTGTTTGCGTCGTGTTTTTCCGTCTTTTCTCCTCGGTTGGCTGTTTTCCGCCCCGTGTCAGATTTAGGTGTCCCCCCCTATGGACGACGGCTCCTCCGATGCTGCTAGCTTTAAAATGGTAGTTTCCTGTCTGCATAATGGTTCCGGGTAGAGCCAGGCACAGGTTGCTCTGTCCGGCCGAGACCACTCTGCTGCTGCCCGCTCACATCCACCTCTGCCCTTCAGTTAGCAAAATATGGGTCCAATCCAGCATGATGCTCATGAATAAATAAAGCGTGTGTACGCTATGTCCGTGTGTGTGTGTGCGCGTGTACGTGCGTGTGAAAGCATGTATTGAGTCCAACACAAATATATCTCAATGAATTCTGATACTATGTCATTAGGCTCCTATGTGAAGTGTGTGTTTTCACACTAAATGTGTGTGAAATGTTAATGAGTCAATTAAAGATATCATTACGGCGCGTGCTGCATAACACGTGTGTGTGTGTGTGTGTGTGTGTGTGTGTGTGTGTGTGTGTGTGTGTGTGTGAGATGCATGTGCTGCTGGGCCTATCGTGCCTGATTTGCATTCAATTACATGTATCATTATAGTACAGTATTTCTGCGCTGCCGCGTGGGTGTGTAAGGATATGTGCCTAATGTGTGGTAAAATAGTGAAAACAATACATTTCCGTTTTGGCTGCACTTCTGAATGTGTGTACCTGCATGTTTTTTTGCAAATGCAGGTGTACAGATACAGATACACCTTTTGATTTTATTTATAATCCATGTAGGGAGAGTAATATAAAATGTTTTATCAGTGTTTTATTTGATCCATAAAACACTGCTTAAACCAGGTCTAATTAAGGCTCAATGGGAAGGTTAAAAGCCATAAAAGTATTGAATGATTAATTGGATTTTTTTTTGTGTGAATGTAAGGAGGACTTTGTTGATCTCAACCTATCCCAAGTACATTAACAATCAATACAATCATACAATACATATTGAAATTCATATCATAAATATCTAAACTAATTATAAAGTATTTTTGATGTTGTGAGTCTGCAGCAGTGAATCTGAGCCCACCTTAATAATGTTTGTCTTCTGTAATTTCCTCCTTTCCTTAAATTAAGAACCCTAATGAGATTAATAATTTGCGCCAAATTGGGGGAGTGGTCGGTGGAGATGTGTTTTCCCCTGTGCAGCCTCAAATTGCTCCCTTTGGTCTAAACACAGGGAGGCTGAGCTGATTTCAGAAACACAATAGTTGGTATCACACACACGCAAGCTTACTTGTTTTCACTCAGATTCCCATAAAACCACCGCTTGATTGTATTGTTTCGTTTGATATTTTGAACATCAATGCTTTCTTTATGTTACTTTGTGTCCAGACATGATTTAAAATCTTCAGCTACTTTGTTCAATAAAATTAAAATAAACTATGAATTAAAGTCTACATTTCCCAATCATTTTGGTTTCTGTACCAACACTATAATTAAATTAAAACAGAAAAATAAAATAAGAAATTAGACTTATACAGTGAGGTAAGATTTTCTATAACAATACATATACAAACAGATAATAGATAACAGCAGCTTTGCAAAACATGTTGAAAAGAAAAATAGCCTTAAAATACTTCCTTTGTATTACCTTTAAAACCTCCAAATGTGTGCCTGAAAGCCAAAGAGGCAAATTGCAGCAAATAGAACAGAAAACAAGGTTTAGTGGGATATTTTTTTATTGTTATTATCAATTAAACAGTATGGTTCCTACAAACTCAAGAATTGATCACCGTTAACAAAAGGGTTGCACATCTGTGAGACCTTTGTTTGGATATTCTTGGAAATAGACATATAAGGGTATGTAATAAATAAATGTATCATACAATTTGAGGTATGCAGAGTAGCTTTGAGAATATAAATATGCCCATGCCTCCCCCTCCCGGTGGTGAACACACACTCACACACACACAAACTGCGCATACACACACATACAGGCACACGGTTTAATCATCAGGGGAGCAATTAACTAAACATGGATAACAACATCTGAATCAGAAGGTATGAGGAAGGATGAGACATTAAAAATACAACTGAATGTCACGTGTCATTTACATTTCGCCCCCTTTTTTGCGTCTCTCTCTTTTAAAGTTAATGAGATGTTTACGTTGTAAAAACCACAGGGCCTTTCCAGTCCTGTCAGTCAAACGGAATACATTCTCCCCCACGACCCACTTTATCAACAACTCTAACTCGCTCCTAATACTGTATTTCCAGCTCTTGTACCCCGAAAGTTCTGTTAAAATTAGCACAAATGAGCAGCTTGTTCATGGAAACCAAATCACTTTTTGCAGATACATATTTAGCAGCGACACAAACTCATCAGCCGAGTGACGGCCGTTTCACTTCTAATCAAATACCAAAAACTTGACACAATATAGGCCTTCGATAGTTTACAAACGTTTTAAAAGTCCTCGCTTTGGTGAACGTAGCTCGACAAGAAAAAAGCTGTGATTGATCAATGTCCCTTTTAGCTAAATGACGACAGGCCTTTTTTCAAATGTCATCACAAGTTGATATGAACACGTAAACTCGGGTCTTCAAATCGTCCTCGTGAGCTGAAGACACGACCCGAACTTTTGGTAAAAAATGAGGTTCTGCATTCCTAAGAAGAAGACACTGAGAGAGTTACACACACGGGCACACAAATTAAAACAGACGCATGTACATTTACACACATACACACCGTGACATCATAAGTCAGCACTATGACATCATCAACACTGGCTTTTGACATCGTCATGCGGTTCGTCTTTTCTCTTTTTGATTGCATCAGCTCTTTTTGTTCTGGATAATACAAATGTTTTTTTTCTTCTTAATTCCACTAAGAAAGTTTGAATATTGAAAATCCAGGATTACACATTGAAATTCACAGGAAAAAAAAAAAAATTCAAATAAATAAATGAAAGAAATCATAAGAGCATTCGTCGTCTGATCAAGGGGGAATCCTTACATGTATGATCATAAACCATCAACATGAGCACGTGACGTGTGTCGTAGGAAAATACTTAAAAATGGCTGGCAAGAAGCGTCGCTCAGTAATCAATCATGTCTGTCTTTATCGAGGGGGAAGCTGAAAACCTTAGACAAGGCCTCATGAGTCCCTTAAAACCCGTAAAGGGGAGATCCAGCCTGGAAGGCAAGAAGGTCCGTCTCACAGCCAGAAAAAATAAAAGTACAAAATATGACATCATGGCCAACATGTCCTCCCGCGACAGAAAAATGTAATCATGGTCGTGTTTTTTTACATCAAGTTCATTTGTTTTACAGAAATACCTTGCATGTTTATATATTTTCTTTCTACACAGGAACAAAAAATAATGTGCACAAGCATGCCTGCCGACACGGACAAAATGGAAATGAGAAGCAGACACTGTAAAGAGCACAGACACAAAGATAATTCGGTATAGCCCTTGGTGTGAAGTGTCCATTGTCCAGCTCCGAAACCCATCTGCCCCCCCCCCCCCCTCCTTCCTTTCATACGAGGAGAGCAGCTCAACTTGCAGGTTACATGTGGCGATCGAAGCCGGTCAGTGGCACAAAGAAACCCTTGAAACTCACAATGAGACGTTTTTAAACAGTGAGGGTCCGCCACAGTCTGCATGAGGATAGTCAATCTTTGAGAGCGGTCTTATTCCAAAACCGTTTTTTTTCATTTAAACTAATCGTTACGCAAAGGGTCACAGAACAATGTTTATTTGATGATATACACCCACTAGAATTCACTGTACAAAGTTAAGCTAAAACCATACTGCAGAGTGGATTTTACTTTGAAGGCCCGGCCATTCTATAAAGTGGTGCAGTAGCAATGTTAATCTGCATGTCTTAGTTAAAAAAACGTGGTGACATAGTGAACACTCGCAGGCCTAGTTGGTGAACTACAGTAGATAACGGGCTAACAAGCTAACGAACACGCTAGCAAGCAGGGAGAACTAGAGCTAGCTTCCTTTTTTTCTGAGCTGGGTAAATTCAGTCAATTATTTGATTGAAGAGGGTAAAAAAAGGTTTCTGATATCGCCAGGTTTTTGCTAATGACCAGCTTGTTAGCTCGGCCACAAACAGGACAATAAGGTCAAACATTTCATTATGTTAATTTGAGCAATTTCGCCAAAATCATTTAATTTTGCCAATATATTTTGCTGTTTAAATGCTGCTGTGACCGGGCCTTGAATCAGTGTAGGTCTTTATTTATTTTTTATCCAAATTATTGGATTTTATGTAGGTTAAATAGAGCCATAAAGGCAGTCTAACTGTTCTTGGTTACATTTTTGTTGCAGAGAATGTTTTCCTTTAATGATAGTCTAATCACAACAAGGGAAGAAAGTTCACATAACCAGCCGAAAGGTTATAAACTGGCCTGCTAAAGGATTGACAAAACCAAGTATACACAAAGTCTTACATGGCTCAGTAACGTTAGTACTATTAATATCATCAGGTTCATTTCATACAAAAGCAACTTGTTTGGTTTTTAAATACTTTTCATAAATACAAAGGACAAGTCTGTCTCCGGCTCAGCGCTCTCCATCATCCGCGGTGGATTCAAAGACAGATGAATCTGTCGGAGCTCGAGGACTCAGAGGACAGTGCAATAAAACTCAAGGACAATTCAACAAATTTCACTCGGCTGGTATCCTTCAATAAAAGTCACAGCGAATACCCGGCAGCCTTTGCGCTGCATTCAGGTGATATTTTTTGCCCTTTTTAGTCGACATTTCTGTCTTCCCTTTTCAAAAGAATGGCTGAATATTCTCTTTTTCAACACACAAGGTGACGAGGGTGAGATAATCAATTGGCTATACTCAGTGTGAGATTAGTGATGTCATCCACCACTTTTTGTTTTATGAAGGGATAAGGGGGGGGGGGGGGGGAGGCTATTCGTTCAGCCCCGTGAGGCAGCCAGCTGAGATCAAACCTCTTACCTCCTGCTCATCTCTCCACTAAAAGCCTCTTCATCTTCTCTCTACTCTCATCTTCCTCAATCTGCTCCTCCCTCTTTCTCTCACACTGTCACCTCGTTCTTACTCCCAGTCCGCAGTCCCTGCACTCCTCCGCCTCCGGGGATGTAGTGCAGCTGCTCGATGGTGTTCTGCCTCTTGTTGGCAAAGGCCATCCGCCGGGAGTTGGGGTGGCCACCTCCGCCCCCGCCGTGGGGGTCCCAGCCGCCGTGCATGCCCATCCCCGACATGGGGGCGGAGCTACGGTCACGGTCACGTTCCCGGTCACGTTCCCGGTCCCGCTCGCGATCGTGGTCGTGGCCC